GTCAACTCTGATTGGTCCCATTTCTGCTAACATATGAAGCTTTCTAAGCATCAGTGATGTCTTTCAGATGTTATTCTCACAGTAACACAGATCAAATAGATCCGATGTATTAGAGATGTACGTTTCCTAGTGTTCTGAAAATCCACTTTATTTGTGATTTTTTAACAAATCCTGAATTTGGGGGGTCTTGAGCAGGAAGCTGAGTCTCGGTGGCCAGAATTTGCTGCGTTCTCTCCTGAACATGTGGAGACTCCAGGACGTATACTTCAAGAGGCATCGACGTCTCAAAGTGGCACCTGGTTCAATTTCCAACTTGTGGGAGATACACTGAAAATCTTTGTTGGGAGATGTTTGGATGTTTCTGGGAGACTCTGTTTATTTTTTGCTTGAAACCTTCCAAACTCAGGGTTGGTTCAAAAATTTGCCAATAAGGTAGATTTAAAAAAAGAGAAAAACAAGCCTCTAGTACGTATACTTCAAGAGATATGGACGTCTGAAAGTGGTTTCTGGTTCAATTCCCCAGTCGCGAGGCATTTATTGAACATTTCTATTGGGAGATGTTCAGAAGTTTTTGGTGAACGGAGACTCAATTTTTTTGCTTAAGACCTCCCAAATTTAGGGTTTGGTCAAAAATCGCAAATAAAGTGGATTTTAAAAAAGACAAAAAGACTCTAGTACGTATACATCAATAGATGTGGACGTCTGAAAGTCGCATCTGGTTTAATTTCCAACTCGCAACAGATTTATGAAACTTTTGATTGGGAGACGTTCGGATGTTTCTGGGAGACTCCGTTTCTTAAGAACTCCCAACTTCAGGATTTGCTCAAAAATTGCAAATAAAGTGAATTTTTAAAAAAAAGAGAAAACAAGACTCAAGTACATACACTTCAAAAGATATGGAAAGTGAAAGTGGCATCTGGTTCAATTTCCAACTAGCAGGAGACTTATTGAACATTTCTACTGGATGATGTTCAAAAGTTTCTGGGAGACTCCATTTGTTTTTTGCTTAAGGCCTTAAAAATTCTGCATTTTTTCAAAAATTGCACATGAAATGAATTTTAAAAAAATAAAACAAGACTCTAGAACGTAAACTTCAAGAGATATGGACGCCTGAATGTTGCATTTCGCTCAATTTCCAACTCCTGAGTGATTTACTGTAAATTTCCGTTGGGTGGAAAATTCTGAAAATGTTGGAATTTCAGCCAAAGAATGTGCAGACGTCAGCTTCAGATTCCTACCGAGCTTCGACAGATTCTGAGAGTTAACATGGAATGAGCCAATAATAAGGAAAAGTCAATGTGCTGTGGGGTTTCTAAAGAGGCATAAAAGTATAAAGTTGAACGTAAACGGGACAGATTAAACTTCATCCTGCTCGTTTTCACACGTTTTGGATTTGATTGTGTTTTGTTTGTATCGTGTATTTATTTTCTCTTTCTCAAAAATGAATCAAACGAATGAGTTTATTAACCAAACGCATTCGTTATATTAATCACGGTTCATTAGTTCTGCAACCAAACGTGCACTAAGGTTCGACTGAAGCTGAACTAAAGCTGATAAAACATGGATCTCTCCGTCGTCACACAAACTTTGCGCCGTACTCACCGGACTCGATGGTTAAGTTAACAAACCGGACCAGACTCGTCCAGATAACAGCCAGAAGAGACTCTGAAGGACAAAAGAGACGGAACCATAAATACACAAACATTCGCTCCGGACAGCAGGTTTAGGGTTAAAACAATCAGTCAACTTATGTGTTTCATATACGGTGAACCAAAGTTTGGATAATTTCAGCGATATAAACAGACGTCTGTGGGAATGAACATATTAAATCAACACATTGCAGCTGAAGTCAGACCTTGAACTGAAACCTTAGTGGAGCTGAATCCCCACGGTGATGATGTGGAGGTGTTTACAGGAGCTCTGCTCCTCCTGTCAGTAAAGTAATCTACTAATACTGGACGGCTGCCGATGTCGACCTGTTCTCTTGGTGAAGGCAACACCAGAGAGTTTCAGACTTATTAGAAGTCGGACGCATCGACCAACCGATCGGCCTGGACGCTGCAGCTCTGCCTTAAAACATCGTTCTGGATGAGAGAACAATCATTTAATTGTATTAGTTAAATCTCCACGCTGCTTCCTCTGTCTGACGCCTTTAATCACTTCCTGACTCCGCATCCTGAACAAGGTTTCTCATTTACATCCGGCTTCAGGCTCAATTTAAGCAGAAAGTGAAAACATTTAAACAGAGTGAGTCTGGTAAAGACCGACTCCTGCTTTGTGTTACTTCAGGGTTCCTGAAGAGCAAACAAACACACTCGTTGATTCAGCAGATTAAATTTAAACCACTTTCTCTAAGCGCAGCTCTAAAGTACTGTTTCAGTCCAAGAGCCTGTTTTCAGTAAAAAACTAATTATCCACAACATGTGTTTCCATATTTGTGAGTATTTACGCAGACCTGCAGGTCATCTGGAGCTGCTCACACAACTATAAAATTAAACTCTGTAAACAACAGCGACAATCTGCCAGACGCCAGGAGGAGAGTTTTATTTAACCGTTTACGGCACCGAGGCTCCGAGGGGAAAGCAAGCCTCATTCACACGACTGGAAAGTGTGTGAAGTGAATCGCCTCAGATGATGTTTACCTGGAGCGTCTCTTCCGACGTTGACGAATCCGTCCCTGATGCTGGCCGTCAGCATGGCGGCGTGTTTGGTGAAGGAGGAAACGGCGGAGAGCAGCGGGTGGTTCAGCGGCTCTGCAGGGAAAAAACAACACTTTTAACAAGTTCGACTGTGCAAACGAGGCGGGAAATGTCGCTTTAATTTCATAACTGTGTCCAGCAGCATGTCCAGGTGGTTTACAGACATGAACAATGGCAGAAACAACCAGAACAGTAAATACACACCTGAAGTCGCGTATGGAGACGTTTTTAGTTTAAGACGAGCAAAAGTTAGAATGCACATAAGTTACATGACATCGTTGCTATGTTTAGGCTAACAGAGGCTTTTTGTTAGTTTATTGTAAATATTGTGTGAACTCAGGGAGTGTCGTCCTCATTTTGTTGTCTTGTTTAGCACAATGACAAAGTTTATTGTGTCTTTTTACAGCTAATATTCTCTTGTTTAAACTACCATAGCAATTTCGGCTCTCTTCTTTAAGCTAACATAGCAGCTGACGTTATTTTGGTAAAACTAGCATAGCGACTAACCTTACCTTGTTTAAGTGGATAATGCTACCTTATTTAAACTAACGTAGAGGCTAATGTAACCCTGCCTAAACTAGCATAGCACCTAATGTAACCCTAAGAGTGCTAGGGTTACATTAGCTGCTATGTTAGCCTTAGGGCCTAAGGCCAACATAGCAGCTAACATTATCTTGCCTAAGCTACTATAGCGGTTAGCACTCTCTTCTTTAAGCTAACACAGCAGCTGACGCTACTTTGGTTAAACTAGCAAAGCGATTAACCTTACCTTGTTTAGGTGGATAATGCTACCTTATTTAAGCTAATGTAGAAGCTAATGTAATCTTGTCGAAGCTAGCATAGCAGCTAACATAACCCTAAGACAAACATAGCAGCTAACATTATCTTGATTAAACTACCAAAGTGGTTAGCACTCTCTTCTCTAAGCTAACATAGCAGCTGACACAACTTCTACACAATGCTAAATTAGCATTGTGTAGAAGTTTGTTTTCTTTTTCAAAATACAATCAGTTGAAAAACCACAACTTCCAAGGTGCTCTGTACTTTACTGCCTCAGTCGTTTGTTTCACGAGAATAAACACGTCAACATAAACTACTCCCAACATCTGATCCAGTTTACTAAGAGGCAGAGTTCACAAAGATACCAACTCTGGAAAGACAAAAAAAAAAAGAAAGAAAGAAAGAAAGCTGAGTTCAGAACAGGTTCAACCAGGCAACAGGAAGCTCAGACCCACCGAGGCTCAGGATGAGTTTGTTCTTTGCTGCAGCAGAAACAACGTCTGGACCCAGAAAATAGTGCAACAGCATCTCCAGGCCCAGCAGCTGGATGGAGGGGAAGGTGGAGGGAACCTGGACGCTGGAGTTCAGGCTCATCCGAGACGTGTTGGCCGGACTGTTGAAGCCTAACCACAAACAAGAAGACGCACATTAAACTCTCTGCCGGTGCTGTCGTGGGTTCTGGCCGATTGACCGGCAGGGCGTGTCGCTCCACCTGTCTTGTTGGCTACAGGTGTAGCGCCGCCGTTCTGAGTGATGGGTCTAGACGGAGTCCCGGGGACGGAGGACGAGTCGGATCCGATGGTGCACTGAAGCAGGGGAACCGAAACCTGGAGGGAGACAAACACTGATCAGTAACAGAACCTCGTCTCAGCCCTCAGCGCATCATGTCTACATCCACAGAGTCACCCAGAATAAAGAAAACTAATGGAAAATACACATTTAGCCATTTATTTTATCTTTTAAAGCTAATTAGTGCATATTTATTGAGATTATGAATAATTGGAAACATTCCTTTTTCTAGGGCTAGCATTAAAGTGTTAATTTCCATTTAATTGCACCTTTTCATTTCCCTAATTTCTGGCACACCAGTAACACTGATGCACACACCAGCCAGTAGGTGGCGCCGATGCACCTAAAGTTGGTTTTCCAGCCGTGAACAAGATGCTGAGAGACACAAGAAAGTTTGTGATGGAAGTCGAGTGCATTGCTCGACTTGTTGGCAGCTTGCATAAGAGCACGGCTGTGTGCAAACCGACCAAAAAAAGTCTTAAAATGTTGAATATAATCACTTTAAATTTAACATATTTGCCAGTTTTTGACATTCAGCGCTACAGAAACGTTTCAGCTTTTACCCAAACAGTGCTGAGATCTGATGTAGAAACACTCCGATGGGTGTTCAGATCATGATTGTTGGTATGAAGGAGCTCCAGCGAACAGAAAACGGAGACGATGAAAAGATTCACCGAGCAGACACTGAGCGAGTGCTGGAGATAAAAAAAGGAGTGTTTCTAACCTGGTCGAAGTTGGCGGAGAGGTTGGGGCCCAGCTGGACCACCAGGTACCACCAGACCTCCACCTTGGTGAGCAGCAGAGCCTCCGTCCTCACGTTGATGGACATGAGCGGCTGCATCAGGAGCTTCATGCGCTTGGAGCTGCACAGGATGTCTGCGGGAGGGCAAGAGTTCAACACCTCAGTCTGACGAGAGACGGGAAACAAAGACGAGACCGAGGCGACCGCTCACCCGGGTTGAGGGCGAAGTTGTCGATGAGGCTCTTCCAGGCGATGAAGGCGATTTTCTTGATGGTGGGAGAAGAGCTGCGGAAGCCGAGCTCCTCCAGATGCAGCAGGGAGTTGATGAACGGTCCTCCTCTGTGCAGCAGCTGAGGAGGAAACGGGCTTTAGGTGTTTGCATTCACATTTAGACAGACCAGAGGGAGAAGAAATGTGGGGAATCCAGAAGAAAGAAGCATTTCTTTGACTGATCTGATTCCTGTTTTCGTTGTCCTTCGTATTGTTCTGATGGTTCTGAGACACTTTCGTCTCTTTCTGCTCGTTTCGTCTCCTCATCCTGCAGATATTAAACTATCGCCACATTTCAGCCTTTACAGACTTTTTCACTCTCCTCTGCTCATCAAAACATAAATAAATAAATTAAAAGAAATAAAGAAATCAGTCTAAGTGCTCTGGCTGCTGCACTGATTCCTCTGGATGTTGACCTAAGTAGGGCTGGACTCGAACATCCCAATATCTGGTTGTTGTGGTGGCATCCAGATATCCGCCACTGATGGTGGAAGCTGCTATCCTAAACTGCCATTTGCAAACTTTGCGTCCCACTTCCACCCCGTCGGAGCGCGACGGGATGAAATGCTGTTTTTTTTCACCTGTAGTGTCTCCTCCTAAATATGAACGTTTCTGGTTTTCTTTGTCGTCTGTGTTCAGAAACTGGAAGTTAAACTATTATGTTGGATAAATGAAGACATCTGAATATGTTGCGTTGAACATTTTACACTGTGGTGGTTAAATAAAGACTAATCAGTAATAAACGTAATAATTACCCACACGCTCAGTGCAGTTTAAGTCCTAAAACAGTGAATCTGAGCTCATTGCAGTGTTAAATTTGTCATAACGCAGCTTCACTAAGTCTAAGCTCAGCCTGCACACACAATGAGCAGCGGTTTGTAAATGTCTGACAGCTGAGGAGCTCTTAAAAGCCTGTGATCCACAAATAAATCTAATTTAGGAAACGTTCTGATGTTCTTGAGGTTTGTACGAGAGCCTCGTTCCTTCATCTATTAATATCTCAGCGACGTTAACACTTTACCTTCCCCAGCAGCTTGACGAACAGAGGCCACAGCTTCAGGACGTTGGTCTCGTTCTTGGACATGAAGAGCTTCTGCAGTTCTGGGATCAGTTTCTGTGAAGACGATTGAACACTGTTACCCCCCCCGAAGCTGCTTCATTGGTCTGTTTAAGTTGTTATTTAAGGAAATACAGTCAAAGCTCTGTGATTGCAGCTTCTTAAATGTGAATATTTGCTGGTTTCTTTCCTCCTCCTGACAGTAAACTGAATATCTTTGAGTCATCGTGTCATTTTTCACTGTTTTCTTACATTTCAGAGACCAAACACCTTGTTGATTAATTAAGAAAACCGTCAACAGATTAATTGACAGTGAAAATAATCAAACAAGATAATGCTAGCTGCTACGTTAGCTTAGGCAGGATGATTTTAGCCTCTACATTCACCTAAACTTTAATTCTTTAGCCCAAGCAACATGATGTTAGCCTTAATGTTAGCTCAAACAAGATAATGTTAGCGGCTCTGTTAGCTTAGGCAGGATGACTTTAGCCTCTACATTCACCTAAATTTTAATTCTTTAGCCCAAGCAAACATGACGTTAGCCTTAACGTTAGCTTAAACAAGATAAAGTTAGTGGTTGTTAGCTTAGGCGGGGTAACGTTAGCCTCTACATTCACCTAAACTTTAATTCTTTAGCCCAAGTAACATGATCTTAGCCTTAACGTTAGCTTAAACAAGATAATGTTCGCTGCTATGTTGGCGTAGGCAGGATAAAGTTAGCCTCTACAAAATTGTAAACAAGGTAAAATTAGCCACTTAAAACAAGGCAACGTTAACCTCTACATTCACCTAAACTTCAATTCTTTAGCCCAAGCAACGTGATGTTAGCCTTAACATTAGCCTAAACAAGATAATGTTAGCTGCTATGTTAGCTTAGGCAGGGTAACGTTAGCCTCGACAATAACTTAAAGAAGTTCACATTAGCTACTTAAACAAGGTCAGTTGCTATGTTATTGTAAAAAAAATGACGTTAGCTGATATTTTAGCTCAGTTGTTTTTGTTGCAAATCAAACCTGCATATTCATATAAACACATCAATAATTTTAGGATAAAATATTTTATATGTGCCACACTGTGACACAATGTACACGGCACTATTTTATTGTTTATAAAGAACATTTCTTTACGTCTCGTTGTTTCTGCACAGCCTGAACAAACCGTCTCTCTGCACTCCGCTGCACCAGCATGTGACACTTAAAAACTCTTGAATGTTGGATATTCAGAGACTTTGAAGCTAATTTATTACAGTATTCATGAACAGCAGCTGTTCACACTCACTGTGGACATCATGGGTTCGATGACGGCAGCCACCTCCATCTGCTTCTCCAGCAGCAGAGGTAAGCCCATCTCCATGGCCGCCGCCGCCCGCAGACGGACCTTGGAGGCCGAGTGAACCACCAGAGGGACGACCAGCTTCGCCCACTGCACCGACCCGTCGCCCATCTGGGCCGGAACCTGCTCCAGCATCCTGCCAACACCAGCAAGAAGCACAATCAGCAAAATGCTAAGTTATATATTGATTCAGCACGGACATGATGCTGCCACCACCGTGCTTCATCTCATGATGCTGCCACCACCGTGCTTCATCATGATGCTGCCACCACCGTGCTTCATCTCATGATGCTGCCACCACCGTGCTTCATCATGATGCTGCCACCACCGTGCTTCATCATGATGCTGCCACAGCCGTGCTTCATCTCATGACGCTGCCACCACCGTGCTTCATCATGATGCTGCCACCACCGTGCTTCATCATGACGCTGCCACCGCCGTGCTTCATGTCATGATGCTGCCACCGCCGTGCTTCATGTCATGATGCTGCCACCACCGTGCTTCATCATGATGCTGCCACCACCGTGCTTCATCATGACGCTGCCACC